ACTTGGTTATTTCAGCTTGCAGGACTGGCCTAGGGGAAATTTTTAGCGGGGTTTTAAAATAATTTTAAATTAACTTGGCCAAATGTTAATATTGTCTTTTAGTTATGTTTTTAATTGTAGCATTTTGTATTTTTGTAGTTGTTTTATCTGGCTGTTAGCCGCCCTGAGTCCGCAAGGAGAAGGGCGGGATATAAATATAATAAACATAACAACAAACAAACATGTCTCCCCTCGTCCTTCTCTTCGTTAAACTAGACATACCCAATTCCAGCAACCTTTCCTCATATGCTTTAGCCTCCAGTCCCCTAATTATCTTTGCTGCTCATCTCTGTATTCTTTCTAGAGTCTCAGCATCTTTTTTACATCATGGTGACCAAAACTGGATGCAGTATTCCAAATGTGGCCTTACCAATTGTAAAGTGGTATTAATACTTCTTGATTCTAGCCACGGGTTCTTCTATTATTATTGAAGCGCACAGGATTGATCCACAGCATATTCACACATCCCTCTAAATCTGTGCTTCTCAACCTCAGCAAGTTTAAAAGATATGGACGTTGTCTCCCAGAATTCCCCAGCCAGTGTGCTGGGAGCTCAACTTAATGAGATTGAGAAACGCTATTTTAAGCCATGACAATTCAATGAGAATACCCTTGCTGCTCTTTAAGTCCCATCCTGCACAGCCCACCAGCCACTGCTGATGCTTTTACTAACACTTTAAGGAGACGGTTGGATCAGGATGGAGATTTAGCAAGATGTTTGTATCTAGAGTGTCCTAATGAAACCAAGTTTGGAAGAGCTGGAATTTGATAGGTCTTACTGAGCCTTGCCATCCAGCAAGGAGACAATCATACTGAGTTACTCCAACTGAATCAGAGTCATAGAACTCCAATGGATTTACTTCTGTATAAGCATAAATAGTGTTGGACTTTTATAAAGCAAGAGGAGAGAGCTAAATTTTCCCATAAATGCCACAAGGGTGGGTTTGCAGAATGGATGAACCCAGGAATTGGGGCTTTCTCCGGCAGACTTAAAGCCACAGCTTAACATAATATATAAGGAGCAAGAGTGGTAAATCAATTCTATGTTACTATTCTAGTGCAAACTGGAGAGCTCATTGGGCTTCGGCCATTTTTAAAATTTCTCAACCACCCTTTCTCTCACTGTGGGAAACTCACTCGCTGGACTAATTTCTCTGACATTCCAGCCTAAAATTGAGTTTTGCCTGCATGGGTATGTCTTCCCTCAAAGATCCCGAGCAGCTTTCTTTGCTTTAAATAATGTTTAAAATAGGTACCTGCTTTCGCCTGTAAAAGCCTTTGGTGTCACAGTTGGGAATGAAGATATCTTCGCCGTTCATGTAGAGGGGAGCCTTCAGCTCCTGCAAGATGGCTGCCAAATGCATGCGACAGGGCCCCTGTGAAAAAGAAGAGCAAATTAGTGACTGAAAGGACAAAAAAACACTGCGCTGCATGGAGATGGGCAGGCCTTTAATATAGGCATTTGGCTCTAGGTAACGTTAGCAGCATTCTATGCCAGGGGTTCCCAACCCCCAGCCATGGCCTACTACTGGGCAGCTATCCCGTTCGGAAGTGGGCCACGCAAGCAGCGGGCAAATGGGCACACATGCACAGCTCCATTTGCGTAAGCGGTGGGCATGCAAGCTCGCACACGAAGCTCCATTTGCATGAGCTGTCGGCACGCACACCTGCTGCTTGCACGAAACCATCCCCTTCACTCCCCTGCTGGTCCGCCAAGGCTGGGGATCATTGCTCTATGCAACAAAAGCAATCATGCTGGGTTGGTGATTCTTTCTCCCTAACGTGCTGCCTTTTAACTCACTATATGTATTTGGGGATCTTTAAAAAGCAGAAGCATCTCTTGGCAATCTCACATGCTTTGCAAAATTACACGCTTTGCTGAATACGCAATCCCCCAAAAGCAATGATGTGCAGATCTGTTAGTTTCGTAAGTCTCAGCATTGCTATGAAGCAAAGACTATAGAGAGCAAGATGCATGAATTCCAGCAAGGCATGAGAGGAAGGAAAAGGCAGCCCCTTTTATTCTCTTCCAGGGCTTGGTGCCCAAGATCAGGCCTCTCATTTCACTCACCATATCAAATTCCTGTTTAATACCATGATTTAGGGGGTCTTGTTGTAGCTGGGATTTGTCCACCACGACATCTGGCAAAGGGTCTTGGATCTGAAGGAGGAGAGGTTCCTGAGTTGGATGATCTGTCTGATAATTTTCCCTTCTGCCATCACCTAGAGGAACAGAAACAGAATTCAGTTGTTGTTTTTTTAATGTCAAGGGCAAAAACATTCAACTTCAGGCTTCTTCATTGCAGCACTTCAGGATTTTATCACAACTGGTACAAAAAAACAATTTTGCACCAACTTTAAGGAGAAGTTCATAAAAGATATTGGCTTCTAATACTTTGGAGGCTGCCCAGTTAGTTAATGTATGCTTCTTTTGTATTTTAATTGAATTTGCATGTCACCAACTCTATTCAAACTTCTGGGGTTTTATGAATTATCTATTCTTTGTAAACCATCCTCAATCCACAGAATTAAGTGGTGTTAGTGAAAGTAAATAAATAGATATTGCTGATGGAAAGACGGCATTCCAACTCCTTTTATACTATTTCTCTCCATCATTCCATTGGGTGAGAAAAAATAAGATGAAAATTAATTTTAATGTTGTTACCAGCAGTAGCCACAGGATGTAGCTGCAGTATGTTACATCTACGGTAGGCACTACTTTCTCCATAGGGTCTAATGAGGATATGAGTGTGTGAGAGACAGATAATGAGACTGTGAAGATCTAAATCGAGGTGTGTGCATATGTCTTGCTTCTGCGTATTTATGTACCTCTAAGAAAGAGGGGGGAATCTAATCAGAGTGTGTACATGCAGGTTTTTTTTCCCCCCATTTAATCGGTTAATCATGTCTGATTCTTGCAGACTGCCTGAAAAGTCCCTGCACTTTTCTTAACGTTTTTCAGAAATGGCTTGCTGTTGCATCTTTTCAAGGGCTGAGAGAAAATGACTGGTTCAAGGTCATCCTTCATGGCTAAGTTGAACTAGAACTCATGATTTCTAGCCTGATGTCTTAACCGCTAGATCACACTGACTCTCCACATGTAGGAAGTCCTCACTAGGGACCAGAATTGTAACTGCTGCAGTCGTTAGATGAAACACCACGTGATCGCACCACTTAGCAACGGCAGTTCCGGTAGTCCTGGATGTGGTCATTAGGCCAGGCCTGCGCCACCACCTCTTCTGCCCTACCGCACTCACCTTAGTTTGAACTCCCCCGCCCTCCTATATTTATCTTTATTTTTGCCCCTTTAGTTGCTCTGCACTTTGCTGCCCTTAGCTGACTTTTGCTGTCTTCTTCCTCCTGCTGCTGCTGTGATATGCCCGGCCCTTTGCAAAACAGCTGAGGGACTTGCATGACTTTCATAAGGCTGCACACCGACCAGCAGTTGGATGCGCCTTATCAGCAGGAGGAGGAGGAAGATGGCGAAGGTTCATAAGGAGGTAGCAAGGGTGCAGGGTGGCCAAAGAGACAGAGCAGCGTGGAGCTAGGTGGCCGTGGGGGGGGGGGGAGAGAGATGAAGTGCATCCTGAGGTTGTAAATGCGGGCATTCTGCCAAGCACCTGAATCTGTTGTTGCTGAACAAGCTGCATATATTCCACTCTGGATCACATGACCAAGAGCTTAAAATGGAGGAGCCAGCAGCATTCCAAGCCGCTGCTCCATTGCCTCACCTATGGGGGATACCTTACAGATAGTCCTTAACTTATGAACCTCTGAAGATATGATGGCTTTTGAAAAAGTGACTCACAAACTGTCCTTGAAGTCACCACTGTGACACACACATATACACGGTCACATGATCACAATGTGGCTAATTTGGCAACTGGTTCACATTTATGATGGCAGCAGCAGCAGCTGTGGTTAAGTGATCACGATTTGTGACCTTCCCAGCCAGCTTCTGACCAACAAAGTCAATTGGGAAGGCTGGATTGACTTACTGACCATGTGATCTATTTAATGGCCATAGTAAAAACTGGGTCCAGTCACATGACGACTTGCTTTACAGACTTATGACCACAATTGAAATTGGAATTTCCATCATATGTCAAGGACTACCTGTAGTGTGTTATTTTTCCTAGAGACTACGGGTAGTCCTCAACATATGACCACAACTGAACCCAAAATTGATGTTGCTAAATGAAACACTTGTTAAGTGAGTTTTGCCTCATTTTACAACTTTTCTTGCCACAGTTAAGTACATCACTGCAGTTGTTAAGTTAGTAACAAGGTTGTTAAATGAATCTGGCTTCCCCATTGACTTTGCTTGTCAGAAGGTTGCAGAAGTTGATCACCTGACCCCGGAACACAATAGCTATCATAATTGTGAGTCAGTTTCCAAGCATCTGAATTTTGATTACGTGACCATGGGGGATGCTGAAATGGTTATAAGTGTGAAAAATGGTCATAACTCACTTTTTTCAGTGCCACTGTAACTTTGAATGGTCACTAAATGAACTGTTGTAAGTTGTTGTAAGTCGAAGACTACCTGTATTTCTCTGCAGTCCCTAGTAAATCTGGCTCATTTTCAAATTCAATCTTTCTTTTTCTGGCTTCTGCTTTTTACAGGAGCCATCACCTCTGTGAAAATTACTTGTTCTTTCCACGTCTACAATTAACCCAATTATGGCCTCCCTCCATAATTCAGGTTTTTTCAACCTATGAATGCCACCATCAGCCTAGCATCAGGCACCAAAGTCAGCCTAGGAATTTCTAGATTACTGAACCTCAGATCTTCGAATAGTTCAAAGGCCAGCTTTGGTTAGAGACTCCGATAGCCAGAATCTCCAGGTGGTGCATAGAACTGGTCCCCAACTCAAATGTAGTAGATATGTTATATTCAAAGTTATGTTCTTCTCCTGCTTTCTCAATTACCTAACTTGTTGACAGGTTAAAGAGACCTCAGGTGCTAGTATTCTTTATAAGAAAGTATAAAATGTTTTGTACTAGAATAGATATTCCCCATTTGGGGATTTTTTTAGTGTGCTGGCCAATGGAGCCATTTTTAACATTGTTAGCTTTATTTTAAGTTCTTGTACACAAATGTCTAGTGCATGACGATGTAATCCTGTGCACCTACTGGATACACATTGTCCGATTGCCACCCTAGGTTTCCTACTTGCTGATTCTGAAGGTAGCCTAGAAACCGCTGCACTCAATAACAAGTACATTATGCATTTATTTAAAGACTAGCTGTACCCGGCCACGCGTTGCTGTGGCTCAGTCTGGTTAAATGGAAAAGAAAGAAAAGAGAAAGCGCATGTTTGTAATATGTTTACGTCCAACAGATGGCGCTGTTTTTCAAAAAAAACATGTTTTACCTGTCACAGGTATGACATTTATATAATATAGGTATATAAAAACATGCACGTATTCAAATGCAACATTGTGTCAAAATTTCAAAGCAATCGGTGAAGAACTTTCAGAGATTTAAGATTTTGAACAAACGAACATTTACATTTTTATTTATATAGATTCACTCATGAGAAGTATTATCTAGTTCAGTGGTTCTCAACCTGTGGGTCGAGACCCCATTTGGGGTCGATCGACCATTTCACGGGGGTTGCCAAGCAAGGCTGTCCGCCATTTTTTTCCCCTTTTCTGGCGGGTGCCTTACCTCCCTTGGGCTGGGCCAGCTGGTGGTCGGCCTGCTCCGTCTCTGCCGCTTGCCAGCTACGCCTCGGCTGGCGCAGGGGGCAGAACCACGCATGTGTGGCGCTCCCGGGCAGGTAAAGTCCTCGATTTACGACCGGTTAGGTAGTCCTCGACTTACGACCGGTTTAGTCCTCGACATACGACCGGTTGGGGTCGCGGCATTAAAAAGGTTGAGAACCACTGATCTAGTTGATTTTCCCCAAGCAAAGGATTTGTGTCTCTTGTCTTTGATGGAAACAGATTTGACTAAGACTTAAGATAGACAAGACTGAAATCAAGAACAATTGTCACCCAAACAAGGCTTGGTTTAACTTAATGTCATTTGTCCACCTAACGGACACCCTCTGCAGATTTTCTCCCATTCCATTCAAGATTGTAAATTATTATAGAGCAGGGGTAGGCAACCTTGGCTCTTTTATGACTCGTGGACTTCAACTCCCAGAATTCCTGAGCCAGCCATGCTGAGGAGAAAGGGAGAGGTTTCCAAGTTGAGCCATGCTGGCTCAGGAATTCTGGGAGTTGAAGTCCACGAGTCATAAAAGAGCCAAGGTTGCCTACCCCTGGTATAGAGAAAGCTTTACAGTTACTCTTGTTCTCACTGCCCCTCCCCTCTTTTTCCTATTTTGTATTTCCTCATTAATTCTTCAAATCAAAAGCTTGTGTAGTTTTATAAATCACACGTGGGCCTAAAAATTTGTTAGTCTAGATTTTACGTATTTGTTTTTCTCCTACCAGCTAACACTGCTGCTTTTGCTGGTACTGTCATCAACTGTATTGAACTTCTGAATTTCACATGTAATTCACCAGGGAGCATTACAGGTAGTCCTTGACTTATGACAATTGACCCCAAAATTTATGTTGCTAACGAAAACATTTAAGTGAGTTTTGCCCCATTTTATGATTTTTCTTACCACAATTGTTAAGTGAATCACTGCAGTTGTTCAGTTAGTCGCAATGGTTATTAAGTGAATCTGGCTTCCCCAATGACTTTGCTCGTCAGAAGGTGGCAAAAGGAGAATATAAGAGCCTGGGACACAGCGACCGTCATAAATATGAACCAGTTGCCAAGCAGCTGAATTTTGATCATATGATCCTGGGGCTGCTGCAATGGTTGTAACTAATAATAATAATAATAATAAAGTTGGAAGGGACCTTGGAGGTCATCAAGTCCAACCCCCTGCTCAGGCAGGTAACCCTATACCATTTCGGACAAATGGCTGTCCAGTCTCTTCTTAAAAACTTCCAGTGTTGGAGCATTCAACACTTCTGGAGGCAGGTTGTTCCACTGGTTAATTGTTCTAACTGTCAGGAAGTTTCTCCTTAGTTCTAGGTTGCTTCTCTCCTTGATTAGTTTCCATCCGTTGCTTCTTGTTCTGCCGTCAGGTGCCTTGGAAAATAGCTTGACTCCCTCTTCTTTGTGGCAGCCCGAGATATTGGAACACTGCTATCATGTCCCCTCTCGTCCTTCTCTTCATTAAACTAGACATACCCAATTCCAGCAACCCTTCCCT